CTGCGGCTCCGGAGGGAGCTGCGCCGCTCCCGGCATCTGCTGCAGCACCGGTGAGCGCGGCACGGCATCCCGGGGCTCCCGCACGGAGCCCTCGGAGCCGGGAGGGAACTCAGGCTTTTACAGAGCAGGGGGAGAGGGGAGGGTGCCCAAGGGATTGTCCGTGTCCCACGCGTGTACCCACCCATGGCTGTGACAGCCAGAGCACGCTCCATGTCCTATCCAGACCCCAGGGAAGGGATGAGACCGCGAGGGTTCGGGGCGGGAGGGAAGCAGGCACCAACAAATTTTGGGGGCCGAGCAAGAGCAAGACCCACATTCCCTCCTGCTCTCGCTTTTCTCAAAATTCCACCCTCCTCCCTGAATCAAACTACCAGAAATCCTGCTATAAATCCCGGGAAGCATCAGAGAATGGAGTGAACACGAGCTCACTAAACCCCAGTGCCAGGGGGTTCCTGGGGGCTGGTTCAGGGGTCTCTGGGGGCTGTTTTTGGGGGTCCCTGGGGGCTGGTTCAGGGGTCTCTGGGGGCTGTTTTTGGGGGTCCCTGGGGGCTGGTTCAGGGGTCTCTGGGGCCCATTTTGGGGGGTCCCTGGGGTCTGGTTGGTGCTGTCTGGTTTCACACCACACTCCCCCCTCTCTCCCCTCAGAGGGCTGTGGCACTGACTCGTCCTGTGACCAGGATATGCTGTTTGTGTAGCCCACCCGGCAGAGAATCCACAGGATCCCGCATCCATCACTGTCCCAGCCCCAGCCCAGGCTGTGACTCAGACTGAAGTGATGAGCTTCATTAGAAATAAAACTTGGACAGAAAAACCACCCAGACAGAACTCTGTGAGTTTTGTGTGCTCGCCTGGTTGAGGGGCAGGCTCGGGAGAAGACACTTCTAGTGAAAAGTGGAGGTAAAAAGTGAGGATTTCAGGTCAATTAACTGAGGGAGGGAGGGGGATCTGCAGACCATGGCTGAACCACAGCACACTCCGTGCTCAACACTGGGCAGCCCAAAACCAGATTATTTTAGGACAAGGCTGACAGCCTGCAAGACCCCAACAACCCAGAACACCCACAGTCATTATCATTTTTTCTACACCTTCAGCTCCAGGTGATGAATAAATAAAGCCTGAAGGGAGGAATAAGGACACACCAGAAATTCTAGATCATTCAGACATTTTCTTATTCAGCCACACCAAGAGATGTGCAAAGGACGGTTTAAAATGTGAATTACAATTAATTCCTTCCCCCAGCAACAAAAAAAGGGAAAGTCAGTGTTTCCTACAAATTCATTCAGCCCTCGTTTGCCTTTGGAAGCATCCAGAGGAGCTGACAGCGGGGAGCTCAGAGCCAGGCTCTGTCTCAGGACCGCTCCTGCTCCTCCCCACATGCTGTGTGAAGGCAGGAGGGATCCAAACACGTGGGAGGTGGGATCACAGGCACAGCACAGGGCTGAGCCAGGCTGCTGGAGCCTCCAAGTTTCCCCTCACCCCCTCTCCCGCAGGCATTAACCCTTTGGAAGCAGCACAGCCAGATCCGTGGCCCTTCTCCACCACTCCTGTTGTCGATTTATACATTCAAAGAAGGATCTGTGTTGTCTGGGGGGGCCTCTGGACACAAGCCAGGCCAGGAGCCCCATGCCAGGGCTGCTAGGACAGCACCGTGCGTTTGACGATCCGCCCGTCCTTGTCGATGGCGAAGTTGTAGTTCCGTGGGTTGTCCAGGCACTCCTCGATGCGTGCCTCCAGGTTCTCGGGAGTGATGAAGTTTTTGGCTTCCTCCTGAACCAAAGGACAAGGATTATCCCCTTAGGATTATCCCACCCTGTTCCCAGAGTTCTGGCTCGAGCTGTCTCCCATCCACGCGCTGTCAACACCCCTGGAAGGTGCCGACACTTGCGTTCCCAGCTGCCAACTGAAAAATCTGTGGAAAACAAGCCCACGGCTTCCACATGGCTCCCTGGCAGGGAATTCTGGCAGCCTGCTTCCCAGGAGGCACCAGCTGCTCTTACCTGCAGCTGGAGAACCTCCTTCTCCTTCTCCTCCAGGAAAGCCTCCATTTTCCTGGCCCGTTTCTCCGCAATCTCCAACTTCCTCCTCTTCTGCTCCTCCTCTTCTTTCCTGAATCTCTCCTCTCTGCCAGACAGAAAGGAAAATCTGATGGATGAGGCGACATATCCCACCCACAGGAGAGCAGGAGGCTGCCCAGAGCACCTTGACTTCGCCCTCAGCAGCAAAAGGCACAGGAACCACAATAGCTGCATAGGCAGATTTATTTTAAAAGGTCAGGATTTCCCAGAATCACAGAATCAAGTAGGGTGGAAAAGGCTGTGTCCTCTTGTCCTCTGCTCCCAGGGAGCAGATCCTGACCCATCCTGGCTGCACCCTCCTGTCAGGAAGTTGTGGAGAGCGACAAGGTCTCCCTTGAGCCTCCTTTTGCCCAGGCTGAGCCCCCCCAGCTGTTCCTACCAGGACTTGTGTCCCAGACCCTTCCCCAGCTTTGTTGCTTTTCCCTGGACATTCTCCAGCATCTCAACATCCATCCTAAACTGAGGGGCCCAGAAATGGACACAGCACTTGAGGTGTGGCCTCACCAGTGCCGAGTACAGGGGAAGAATCCCTTCCCTGCTCCTGCTGGCCACACCATTCCTGATCCAGGCCAGGAGCCATTGGCTTTCCTGGCCACCTGGGCACTCTGCTGGCTCATGTCCACCCTGCTGCCCATCCATGCCCCAGGTCTCTTTCTGCCTGGCTCCTGTCCAGCCACTCTGTCCCCAGCCTGGAGCATGCAGGGGTTGTTGTGCCCAAAGTGCAGGACCACACACTTGGCGTTGTTAAACCTCAAATCCTCGGGTTCAGCCCCTGGGTCCAGCCTGTGTAGGTGCAGAGCCCTCCTGCCCTGCAGCAGACCCACACACCCAGCTTGGTGTCATCTGCAAATGTGCTGATGGTGAACTTGATCCCCTCACCCAGCTCATCAACAAAGACGTTAAACAGGGCTGGGCCCAGCCCTGATCCCTGGGGACACCACTGGTGACTGGATGTGACCATTCCCCACCAGTCTCTGGGCCCAGCCATGAACCAGCCCCTAACCCAGCCCCTAACCCAGCCCAGACTGACCCTGCCCAAACTCCTCTGTAAATATTAGACCAGACTGTGAGTTCAGTTCTGCCTGAGCAGAAGTCACAGCCGGGCAGGGCAGTGTCTCCCTGGCCCTGCTGACCTGCGTGCCCGCTGCCGGGCGTTCTCCTCATCGTTCCAGGCCATCAGGCGCCGGTGCTCCTCCAGCTCCTCCACGGAGCCCTCGGCAGCCAGGCGCTCCTCCTGCTTCTTCTGCAGCACCTCAGCCCTGAACTCTGCCCTGTCAGGAGCAGGGGAGGGCATTGAGCTCCTGCCCCACTGTGCCCCCAGTCCCACCACCCTGACCCTCCCCCTGCCCCACAGTGCTCCCAGTCCCACCACCCTGACCCTCCCCCTGCCCCACAGTGCTCCCAGTCCCACCACCCTGACCCTTCCCTGCCCCTCATCAGTCCAAGCCCCGCCACCCTCCCCTACCCCCCGGTGTCCCAGGATCTACCTGCTCCCGGCACAAAGTGGCCCAGACCCAACCCTCCCCTGCCCCACAACCAGCGCCCTGCCCCAGAGCCAGCCCTGTCCCTCACAGCAGCCCCAAATGGCCACGAGCTCGACACTCCCCTGCCTCACAGCCCCACATCCAGCTTCCCACCCCACAGCCAGCCCCACAGCCAGCCCCCAACCCTCTCTTGTTCCACACCAGCCCCCCCGAACCTTCCCCAGACTCCAACTCCATACCCAGAGCCACGGCCAACCCCAACCTTCCCCTGCCCCACGGCAGCCTCACAGCCCCATACTTAGAGCTCTACCCTCCAGCCAAACCTTCACCCAGCGCAGTGACCCCCAGAAACCCCACACCAAGCCCCCTGCCCTGCATTCATCCCTTCAACCCTCCCCTGCCCCACAGCCAGAGCCTCACCCAAACCCACAACCACCCCCCGGCCCTCTGCCCCACAACCAGCCCCACACCAACCCATATCGACCTTCAGCAGCCCCCCAACACTCCTGTGCCCCACAACCAGCCCCACACCAACCCATATCGACCTTCAGCAGCCCCCCAACACTCCTGTGCCCCACAACCAGCCCCACACCAACCCATATCGACTTTCAGCAGCCCCCCAACACTCCCATGCCCCACAGCAGTCCCCCAACACTCCTGTGCCCCACAGAAGCCCCTCCATTCCATCGCCACAGCCCAACCCGGACCTGCCCCACAACCCCATTTCCGTCCCCTCCCGTACCGGAGGGCGCTGAGCACCAGCCGGTGCTGCCGGTACCGCTCCTGCACCACCAGCAGCTCCTCGGGGTCCACGGGCGGCGGCATCTTCACCCGGCCCGCCTTGGACTTGGCGGGAGGGTCGTGCCGGGTCTTGCGGCCCCGCGCCGGCACCGCCCGCGGGGACCAGCCGGGACAGAGCCCCGGGAAGGGGCCGGGCCCCAGCGCGGCCGCCAGGGCCGGGAGCGGGACGGGCCCCGGGCGGCAGCGCCTCAGCGCCGGCAGCATGGCGGCGGCGCAGTGACGTCACGGCGCGGGAATGACGTCACGGCAAGGCCGCGCGCGCGGCGCCACGGGAAGGGAGGAGGGAGCGGGGCCTGATGGGAAATGGAGGCGGGGAGGGGAGAGGGACAGAGACACGGCCACGGACACCAGTGGGGCAGGGACACCCTGCAGGGGACAGGGACACCAGTGGGGCAGGGACACCAGTGGGACAGAGACCCCCCCCCCCTTGTGAATCTGCCACCCCAACGGACACGGGACACGGAACGCAGAACCCCTGCCGGACACGGCCCCCTAAGGAACAGGGGATCCCCCCAGGGAACAGGGGATACCCCTAAGGAACAGGGGATACCCCAGGGAACAGGGGATCCCCCTAAGGAACAGGGGATACTCCAGGGAACAGGGGATCCCCCCAGGGAACAGCCGCCCACGACACGCGGCACCCCAAAGGACACAGCCCCCTGGCACCGGACACCGCCACTCCCGACCCCCATGCCAAGGAACAGCGCAGCCCCCCCGGGACACAGCACCCCCAGGAGACAGAACCGCCCCTTCTCGGACACCCCCCAAGAGACAGAGCCCCCCCTGGGGACACCAATCCCACCCACGGGACAGATGGCATCCCTAAGGGACACCAAGGGACACATGCCACCCCTCCCCCGAGCCCCCCGCGGGACCCCCCATCACCATCACTGCACACAAATCCCCCCCAGCCCCTTTATTCCCCGCGGGGGGGTCCCGGCTCGGTCCCGCGTGGGTCGGGGGGCATCGGTCAGTCCCGGTCCCGGGGACCCCCCCAGGACCCCCCGGCCCCGTTCCCGCTCACCGGCAGCGGCTCTGCCCTCCGGAGGGGACACGGGAGGGGACGGCAGCGCCCGAGAGGGGACGGGACCTGCGGGAGGGGGAAAAAGGGGGACACCCGTGGGGGGGAAACCAGCCGGGATGGGGGGATCACCCCGCGGGTGGGGAGAATTCCAGGGTGGATAAACTGCGGGGGTTTCGGGGAGGAAGGTAAATCCGTGGGGAAAATAACCGCTGGAAAAAGGGGGATAATCTGGAGGGCGGCGATAATTCAGGGGGGATTATAGCCCGTGGGGGTGATAAATCCGGATAATTCAGGGAGAGGGATAACCTGGGGGG